TGCTTGGAAGCAGTTGGTTAATTTAGGAGCAAAGCTGATTGAGTTGAAATTCAGTCAATTCCTAATCTCAGGGTTGAATCAATATCAATTAATTTAAAGTATGGGAGGGTCCATAGCACATGCATCATGCTGGTTTCTTTTTATGTTGGTAGCATTCAGCAAACAGCGAACATGGAGGAGAAAATTGAGAACAAAAAGGAGCAGAGAAGGAAAGTACCAAATACCTTGGTGGGGGAAAAGGAAGCAAGAAGAGAGGAGGTAGTGTAAGGATAACAGTGAGAGAAACGTCAACTCAATAAACATCTATCTTAGAGTAATTCTGTGTAAGACTAATAATTATATAATGATGACCTTGTGATGAGCTATTGCAGAACTCACATGGATTTTTCAAGACTTGACGGCCTCTGAGCGTGGAGAGACCTGTCAGCAGCTGAGAGAAAAGGCTTTGAAGAGTTGTGCATTAGACTGATACAGAAGAGGATGTGAGAAATGGTGACTCTCCTTGGGGCAGAGGACAGGACGCTGCCACTCTTATTTACTTCCTACCCATAAGATTAAGGCAAATACAATTCTTGGTGGTAGTCAGTTCTGCCACAGGAGTGGCATCATCCTTGAGAAGAGCTGCCTTTACAGCTGAAAATACATTTAAGGAAGGGAACTCTCCAAAGGATGCCATTCTGCACAGGACACTCGCATGGTCACCTTACTCCTCTTTGTCCATTACTGGGTTGTCTGGAGGGAACTTTTCGTCAGTTGATCTCAGACAGGGGAAACATAATGAGATTCAGTTAATAAAGAACAAAATAATGGGATATAATTAATATCAGTCAGGAAGGATTTAGGGAAAATGGGTCTTGTTCATCAAGTTTTAGTAGAAGCAGGTATCTGGGTAAATGTGATAAGTATTGTCAGGGTTTTGTCCTAGAACAACATGGCCCTAAAAAATATGATAGTGACAAATAGATTAAAAACTTACTTCACATTTCCTAAAGCAATTGTTAAGGAAAAGACTGAATGGGAGGAGGATCTTTTGAAGGCCTGGTGCTAACCAACATTTTCACTTGATTTGGAGCAAGCACGAATTTAAACCTCACTAAATTCACAGATGATGTGCACGTTAGAAGGGTTGTAAATAGTATTGAGGGTGGGGAAGTTTTCTCTCTCTCCAAGTAAAATGTGTTATCTTACATATTTCTCACTGTAATGTTCTACACGGTTGTACCAGCAGGACAGACAGGGACTGCGCAGTGTCCAGGTGAGGTGCAGTGCTGCACCAAGAGCTTACTCTGGTCTTGGGAGATGCAACCAGAAGCTGTGCAGATGAGACTACAAGCTAATTTTTACCTCTGTGCATATTTTTGCACTAAAACACAGTCCCTGATTCTGCTGTGCATGTTCTCAAAAGGGCATTTAAAACCTGGGGAGGTCATTAAAAAGATTCAAGGGCAGGATTAAAAATGCTGGAGCATGAGAAATATAAAGAGCTCAGCCTGTTTAACTTGTCAGAAAAGATTGAGAGATGACTTGATTCTATGCTGCAGAAGAGTTTTTATAGCAAGAACACAAAGCAGCCCTCGCAGTAGAGAAGGGCATTAAAAAACCTGATGGGTGAAAGCTGAAACCAGACGAAGTTAAGTCACATCTCTAAATGTCAGGTAGTAAAATAAACTGCACAGGCAAATGGCAAGTACTTCATCTCTCGATACCTTCAAATTCAGAGTGGATGGCTTTTAGAAGATATTCTTAGGCCAAATGTAAATTGTTTGGCTGAACAGAGCAAAATCTAAGCGCCTGTCAACAGAGAACTTGGCAAAGTGTCTGCTGGTCCCTTCTGGTTCTTGGCGTCTGTGAGGTGATGTGTATCTTCATCCTGGATATTTGAGCAAAAAATGTCTTCTTCCCAAGGTCATCTTGAAGCAGAACCTGCTCTTCAGCTGCACGTTGCACTGCAGGCCTGACTGGCTGCTTAACCTTTGCCATTTACTGCTTAGTTGGAAAAGGTGCAGGGAATAAATCTGGAGACATGCAGAAAATGTCGATCAGCTCTTACTTATTCCAGATACTGCTAAGAATTAAATTAAGACAAATGGTTTTGCCACAGCACCCACATAGATGCATATCATTTACCTTAATATGCAAAGGTGTTGAAGCACAGTATTTCAGGTAAAGGAGGAGGTGCAACCCCTACGCTGTGTTCCACATTGACCAGAAAAGGTTGCTAGTGGGTGACTGTTGTTTGTGAAGTGTTTTCACTCTGCAGATGAGCAGTGCAGCTTTGGCCACATTGATTTCCTTCCTATGCTGACCCTTTCCAGGTGTGCTGCTCTGATCCGCTCTTCTCTCCCAACTGAAGGGGTTAATACACTGTTTTTTTTATTATGTGCTGATTACAGATAAAGTTTAACCAAAGGGTTTCTATGAGTAGTTTAGGAACCTGTGTCCCATTTCTGATGGCATCTGTGGTGCTTGTGCTGATCCCTTACCCTCTTCTAGTCTCAACTCTGGCCGCAGTGGTTTGGGAGCTTGCCTTTTTGGCAAAACAGGCTACTCATCTCCTGCTCAAAGGAAACTTCTGGCAAAAAGAGACTGGAGGGGAAAAAGACTGGAGAAACCTGTCTCCAGAATAATGGGAGACGGTTTCTGAGATGCAAGAGTTGCTGTGCATCTCTGTCTGGAAGACGAGGGAGGAACAAAGGATTCTTGTCATCTCTTCCTGTCATCATCTTTTTCTGAGTTTCTCCATTGTTTTTTTTTAAATAAGAATATCCATGTCATAGCTGTAAAAGCAATGAGAAATACTAGAAAAGTACCCACTCATAGAAAGCCAGCAGTGCAAAGCTGTGCATGGGGTGTTACAGCTGATCTTGCCCTGTGCCAGCTCAGTCATCTCCAGTGCAGGGCTCTTGTGCTGCCCGTCCTCCATGGTGCTGTCTTTCCTTGTCTTTGGGCCATTCTGCTTTATGTCTTTAGCTTTGACTCAGGAGATGGCCTTGCTCTGACCAAACCCTCTTGTTTGTTGCCAGATGTGGATGCAGAGTCTTCTAAGTATGAATGTCTCATTAGATTAGGGAAATATGAGATTTTTCTAAACAGATGTTGCATAGTTGGGCAACTGGGCATTTTTAATTTGTTTCCTACATTTATGTCATGTGCTGCTTTGACTCTGGTTGCATACCAAGGCTCTTTTAAGGACTAACTTAAAAGGCGCAGAAGGATGAGCATTCTGAGAGTGTGGGCGTGAAGGAGGGATGGACATTGATGGATGTAGATGACTAAAAGATTGTTTATGGAGGTGAATGTGAGGCAAATTAAATGGACCATAAAACCTTTATACAAGGCTGTGGGATGCTCTTTGAAGGGAACCTACAAACCCCAACAGAGGATCCAGCAATGAGGCATGTAGAAGGTATGTCAAAGGCAACTGTTCTGCAGTGGTTGGGGAAACTGGTAAGGCCATTTCACAAGCTTTGCCTTTGTTGATGCCTCTATTGTTACTCTTGCCTGAAGGTTTGGATTTTGAAAGCACGTTAAAAATATGTTTTATGGTTGTGGAACTTCCTGATTTGTACAATGTGCTTCATACATTGCTCTAGGCACACAAACAATACAAACTGTAGTTAATGTTAACCCAGAACATGCATATTCTATCCTTTCAGCCCATGGGGACGTGCATACACGTGCTGCACCATATGTGGGGACAGCAGCTGGTACAGAGCCTTGGGGCCAACACGTTTACCCGGTTGGAAACCTCGTAATACCAGAGGAAAAGGGACTTTATAGCTGTATTTATAACAGAATTTTTGTCTTGCATTTCAGAGTAGGTATAATTTCAGAAATAGAATAGAAAACATTCCTGGTATCTTACCTGTTCGCACCACGATCTAAAGCAAAAGGCTCTGGGAGCAATAGTTGACTACCTTTTCTCCCCTTTCATCCCCTAGATGGGGATGGTCAAACATCTAAATAAAAGTATTTAAGTCAAGCAGCTTGCTGCACAAATAAGAGCATTCTGCATGGATTAGACAAGTTCATACAGATATCCTCATACTTCCAAAGCAGTTGGGAAAGAACTGTTTATTTAACATTTGGGGATACTGAGTTCTCTAGGTTCCATAGTTGGGTCATTTCTTCTCCAGGGGTGGTAGTCAAAAAGCTGGTGGGTTTCTGAGAGTACTGTGGGTCAGAGGTTTTGTTGCCTGAATCCAGGTTAATGGGGAGACATCTTTAAAGGATTTAGGTAATTCTGCTTTGTTCAGAAAACTTGTAGCAGATGTGTTTCAGGATGAATGCTGTATGTGGGATGGAATCTGGAGCTTCCTAACACCGGCTAAAGCAATTAATAGTAATGGTATTCATTATATATTCATTACATAACTTGGTTTGTTCTGAGAAACAGACTGCTAGAGGTGGAAGATGAAAATAGCAGCTGTTAATTTCAGAGGGCTGAGCCTCTGAAGACTGCACCCAGGAGGAACCAGAACCTCCTGAATTCCCTTTGCGCTGTGGCTGAGGGCGAGTAAGGAGGGGCTTAGTCCTCTCCAGGATTTTCCACTGCTGGTGCCTTTCCAGGTGCCATCAGGGAACATTCTGTCCATGCTCAACCATTTCCCTATAGCCCATCTGGGAGGGCTTCTGCCTTCCCACCACCTCTGGTGCTGCCTGGCCTTTTTTTTTTGCTCTGCTCCCTTGATGCTCATCAGGACTTGCAGCTCCTTGTTGCTCTGCACAGTCTGAGCAGCAACATGGGATTTAGGAAATGTTTTGAGGTATGGTCAGGCTGTATGCCTTGGCTCTGCCCATGGTTACTGCTGTTCCCAAGCTGAGTAGCTCCTTGTACAGCCTTTGTGCCTTCATGCACCTGCACTCAGTGTGTAATTCATTGGTACAAATGGTTTGAGTAGGTAGGGCAGTGTGTATGTGTTGAGTATGTGCTTAACACTGTGAAAGGCTCTGGGAGCAATAGCTAACTGCCTTTTCTCCCCTTTTGTTCCTAGACGGGGATGGTCGAAGACTCAAAGGAGCCATCCAGAGGAGCACAGAAACTGGGCTGGCTGTGGAAATGCCCAGCCGGACCGTCCGTCAAGCCAGCCATGAGTCCATTGAGGACAGCATGAACAGCTATGGATCAGAGGGAAAGTAAGTCATCAAAAGGGAGCTGGGTAATCACTTGTGGGATGCGCTGTTCCTCTTATACCTATTAATTTTCCTCCAGCATAATAGATGATGTGTTTTTCTGACTTGGCTATGCTGCAGGTGTACTGCCCATTCAATTAGAGCAGGTCTTTCTGCCTGCATAGCTGTTTATATACTTTTTTTTTTTTGTGTCCTCATTATTCTGAGCTGAAGCAGATACCCATTACTTTTAACTGCTTTGCCTTTAGAAGAATAATTCAGGATGAATAGCTGGGGCTCATTACTGGTAATGAATTATAAGCCAGTAGTTTTTAATATTGCACAATAGTTGTCTATCTCCCCTGTGTCAAAATAACCTTTTGGTTTGGGGGGAAGGGTGTGCCAAGGTGATGAGAAGGATGCAAGCAGCAAAATTATCATTCTGATATCGAAATACATATTTAGAAGCCTATGTATACTTCTGGTAACAAACCCTTTGTTTCCTCTCAGTTAGTGTCATAAAATAATGTGTTTAGAAAAGGCTTTTGACCTTGTGAAAAGTTCTAACTCACTTTATCACCTTGAGACTTTATACCAGAATGTAAAGGAGGGGATCCTTAGGCCAGAACTTTGGGGACTGACTTTTCTCCAATTCTTGTTTTTGTATTTCCATTGCTTGCAGTCATTTCTGGAGATTATAATAATTTTATTAAGATGACCGTTCATGGCAATCTTTGGAGGCCAGTGTTTAAAAAAGGAGGTAATATATCCTATCAGATTCCGTGCTTCTAGGTATAAGGCCAGAATGTTTGTATGACTAAAATGTGCTCTGTTTAAGCCAGATTGCTCTGTACACTCTCTCTAGTCTTTTGTGATATTCCAAGTACACTGTACTGCTAAAATGCTGAGATAGTCCAAAGATGCTGTCAATTAATGTGATTCTGGTGTTAAATAAGTAACAGGCTGTAAATTGAGAAAGACTTTCTTTAGCTTTAGAAGTAGGCTAATCCTGGAAAGGCATCATAGATCTGTGCTGAAGGTTGGAAATAGTAATGAGGCACAGGCTGTGATAGCAGTCGTGTCACTCCAAAGCTGTGATGTACCTTATCTCTTCCGTGAGCTCCTGTCTCCAGGGAAATATTCCTGCTACACCAGCACAGTCCTGTGGCTTGGAGTTCTGTCTCCACTACGAGATGGAGAGGATTAGTGATTAAGTTCAGTCCCTTGGCAATGCAGGGCAAGAATCTGCTTTCATGCAGAATAGAATTCCTTCCTTTTTGTGTTTACATAGCTTACCCTTCTGGGAAGGGGTGTGATTTTCTGAAAGGTCTATCATTGTCCTATCATTGCATACACTGGCTGCTTTCACTGGGCTTTCCTAGAAAGAGAATATTTCTGCCAATAAAATACTACACCCTTACAAGTGCTGTTTTACCTGCTTTACCCTGCCTTCAGGGTATCAACTCAACAAAGAAAGGAAAATCCTGTCTTGCAATCCAAATGTCTGTATTGGAACAAGTCTAATATTTGGTATTCCAACCTTGAATGCTGCCGGAATATCTTTGCCAGCCCTTCTCCAGGGATGGGGTGGATTCTCCTCTTCTTGGAAAAGTGTGATTAAGTGGTTCCTGGACACTTTGTTCCTAGGTGGGAGAACTGATCTCTTCTGGAAAACCGCTGGGAATTGCAGTTACCTGTCTTGAGCCATAAGTGATAAGCAAACAGGGCTGAGAGTACAAAGAGCTGAGAGGGCTCTTTTCTCTTGAAACATGGTGGGAGGGGAGTTTCTCTGCTTTCTTTTCCTGCAGCAAAGAAAGGAATTGTTTGGGGAATACATTTGAGGGATAGAAATGTATTTTTCTAAATCACATTCCTCTTGACCTCTCCCATTTACTGTAGCTCTGTTCCCAGGGAGGCAAAATGAAGATTCATATGATTGTGTTAGCTGTGGCAAGTTTATTTTCTTTCCAATGCTGTGTTTCTGACTGCTGCAGATACCCCATAGGTCAGAGACAGTTTTCACCAGTGACTGTCAGAAACCCAGTTTTCAGCAAGACGAGGTTGCCCTAGTTCTTCCCGCCCATGCATCTCTTCAGTGTGCTCACACAGGGAAGAAAATGGATTCAAAACCTCACCTTCCAAGAGGGCTTGTTTCTCAACGTCCATATGTTTTCATAATCCTTCTCAATTTAAGGACTAAAAGAACAACTTCCAAAGGTGGCACACTGACACGATCAAAGATTTGGTGAAACTTTGCTGCAGAATGCCTGGGTACCTGCTCTCAGTAATACAAATATGCTTTTAAAAAGCGATGCTGGCTGACTGCTTTCATGTTTGTTGCTACAGCTGCTCTGTGCCAGTGCGAAGTACCACACTCAGAGAATGTTTTGTAGTGCGTGATTTTGAGGAATGCTGCTTTTCATGTGAATACCGCCAGAGTGCATGAAATCCAGTTGGTTTTTTCCTCTTTTTATGGAGAAGCTTATTACGTAGGCATATAGTTCTCCTCAGATGTGCTAGGCCCTCCTTGAACAATATACAGCCTTTAGGTTTTCACCTGAAGATGAAGTGCCCTGAAGAGTAGCTGGTCTAACAGATGTATCTCCCATAATTAATACAATGAAACTCAGTGTGAGAATTTATAAAAGGGAAAGGCTATATTTATGCTAAACACAACTGTTCTCAGTCATTCATACTTCTAGGTCTCACTCACTTGTTCTCTCGCTGCCCCATGAAGTGCTGAAGCCAGGCTTGGTTGTGTGCTGCAGGGAGGACCAGGGACCCCATCTGTCAAGCCCTCACTATGTCTTCTGAGTTGTTCTTTACAGCAGACGGGCTCTTGGACTGGTTTTTAGTTGGTTGGTTGGTTTTTGTTTGTTTTGGTTTTGTTTGGGTTTTTTTTACATTTTCTAGGACTGCCTGTTATATGGAGTGATCTTTCACCATGGGGCCTTGCTCTTTTACCATGGAGCCTTGTTCTATTTGATCTCCATAGATCTTGAGCAGTGCTGTTACCTTCTTGTTTCCTTGTTTGGGGGATCTTTATGGCTACAGCCTGCCTTCAGATAGCCTATGGAAGTGATGTGCTCTTGTTCTCCTCGTGTTGTTGGAGGACAAGTCAGCTGCTGACAGATTGGTTGTTTCACACACATGGATGTTTCCATTCGTAATTCATCCAGACCAATCTTAGCACTGGTTACAAATCTCTACAGCAGTGAGTGTTTTCTTCTGTGTATGTACTTAAAAGTCTGCATGGGAGGACAGTTACCCAAGTGCCTACCAGGACACCAAGAATATTGCAAGGATAAAATTCTGAATATAGGAATAACTTGCCAACAAACCGCTGAGATTCAGCAGAGATCTCCAACTCCATCCTGGCTAATACACGACCTATGTCTTGTTTTGGCTGGGTTTTGCTGCAGCTGCACAAGGCTGTACCACATTCAGAAAGCAATAGATTCTGGACTTGTGTATAACTTACTCCTGCCAACCTCTTTTCTTTCTGAAAATGGAGCAGAAGACAAAAATGGACCTGGAACAAAAGATTGCTAGCCGCCATAGGCCCTAGTAAGTGGTACTCGTTGGCTTTTTTGTTCTCACTGGCTACTGCAGAGATAATTAAGTTATGGAGAGCTAAGGTGATTTTTACCTTAGAAAAGCACAGCAGGTGATGACTAGCAAAGACTTAAAGGATTCTTCTTGTATTATCTAAGATGAGTCTCCCTATCCACCAAGGAAGCATCTTCTTGTTAGCCATATCATTTCTCCCATCATGAGGGCAGCAGCAGCCTGAACCCACCACTGTGAGGAGGGCAGGAGCAGAACTCAGCTTGGCACGTGTGCTGCTGGCACAAGCATCTCGCATCTCTCGGCTTTGTTCTGCCTTGTGCTGTTTCTGCAAGCTACAGAGTATACCAGTTCTCCCATCTGTGCACACAGGGCTGATGTGAACCAGTGCTGGGACTTGGGCAGGTAGCTCTCCTAGCCTTTCTCTACTTCACGATGGAGCAGTAACAGAAAGGAAGCTGGAGAAAATACCGGCCTGGCTTGTGACCATATGGCTATGTGAAAATTCACTTTCACCAAAAATTATCTATTGTCAGTCAAGAGTTACCAAAAGACCTGGTTCTTAAACACACCATTCAAGAGATCTATGTTGTAGCTACTCACTGAACGTCTCTTTTTTGGTATCCAAAACCAAGGGACTTCTAGACTCTTTTATAGCAAATTGTCCTTAGGGCTTTCCTTTTATCCAAGTCCTTTTGAAAATGTAATGAAATGTGTGGTTAATACAGTTCAGGCTATAAGGAGCCTTTTGAGATGGAAACTTGGAAGAGGCATGGGGATTGTTTCTGTAATACACTGAGAAATTAGTCAACCTGTTCAGCAACAGCACATCCTCCTGTGCTGTTAACGTTGACCAGCACCGCTTGAAAAGGATGCGACCTTGAGAGCTGTAGTTACAGCAGTAGAGTGAATCCCACCTTCAGCAGCCTCTTGGGAAGAGGCAGAATAGCTCCCTGAAGGCAGGTAGCTATTTTGCATTCAGTATGTCTGAGATGAGTAGTGATTGCTAAATATGGAGCCAGCCTGGTAAGGTGGGGAAGGGAGTGGGGGAGGTCTTTGTACATCATTGACTGCATAGTTTTTATAGCACTGTTTAGGTGGCAGAATTCATACAGCAGAAGGAATGGGATACAGAAGTGGAGTACAATGCACATAAGTGCGCATAAGACAGCATGTCACGGTGCTAAAAATGTTATGGAAAGTGGAGTGGTCAGGAGAGAAGCAGAGCTTGTTGAGCAGCAGAGGGTAGGGTATTGCTTATGTATGTGGGGGGGGATTAGGCTGGGTTTGGGTCCTGCGGGGATAGACGCTCATAGAAAACCTTTCCAGCCAAAGGGAAGGCTCCTGCAGCATTCACATCATCTTTGACAGGATGAGGGGCTGTGTGCACCTGACAGTGCAGGTAGATGCATATTGCATTAATAATTCCTCATGTGCACTATAAATATTTTAGATAG